ATGAATATATAATAATAATTGTGTGGCTCAAAAGTTTTGCACGCCACTGTATATTACTTTTCGCTACACATTGTAATAATTTTTTCAAATTAACCAAGTATAACCAGTAAGAATAAAGTACAGTAAGAATAAATAATAATCCTCTTAAAAAAAAATTAAATAATCTGTATATAAGAGGAGATTTCTATTAAAATCAATAAGATTCGCATTATGTACATATAACATATAATCCCTCTGACTTTAAAAATAATGTGTTTATAATATTTTCCTCTGAATCTTAGAGGAATCCTCTTGAGGACGAAATCCTCGAAAATTCAGATGATTCTGCTTGTGCTGAAATTACTTCTGCTGAAATTACTTTCTTTTTGAGTGCCCGTCCCCTCTTCTTTTCTCAGTCTATCTATCTCTTCTGCGGCAAATACTCGCCGAGAATTATTCGAATTATCTGCTCGTCGCATTCGCGAGAGAAGCCGATGGTCGGCGCGAAGAGTCGCGAGACATCGCTTCGTCAGCGCGTTCCTTATCAGCTGTTGCAAAAGAGTATTATTTTCTAGCCGGAGGCCGACACGTTCGGCCGACGATCCGATTCACCGGCGTCATAATCGTTCGTTTACACGACGCACCGGCGATAAGCCCGGCGGCCCGATAAACAGAATCGTGCACGACGCGCGCTGGTAAATAATTTACATAAGTTGCAGTTGTCTCGTCGACTCGTTGCTGAACCGCGATCTTGAACGGCATCTCGCGAGATAACGGGCCGGCCGATTCTTCAAACCGAACAGAGAAATCCCGGCGAGTCGTGTTGACAGATCGATAATGACGGGGTTCGTCCCGCGATTGCGACCCCGCGCGATCGCGCAATGATTGATGAGCTGGCATTCTTTCATCGCGATCGCGGTGAAGCTCTCGAGGTCGGCCACGACGACGAATCGATCCCGCGATTCCGGCGCGAGAACTTTCATCCTCGTCGTTTACGACGTGAGAGAGCGAGATTGCGTAAGCGCGCGACCTTCGCGAGAATAGCTGATTGCGCAACGTATATCGGGCGCAACGTGACGCCGAGAACGAGACGAACGAGCGTGTCGGTGATCCCACGAGATTTCCAGGGAATCTCGGCTCTCGAGGTAGGGCGTCAAAATCAACGATGGAATTCACCTCGCTCGCAGGCTCGCAGCCGGTGAAACGACGCTCGCGGGGCGAACTGCCACGTGGAAACGCGCGACGCAGAGCGTTTGACGTAGCGCAGAAACCCGAACACAGACGCCGGACAGGAAACAGCAACTCCGCCGTGAGATGCTGAAGACGCGCGATTAGGCAGCTCGATGATGCACCATGATCAATCGCGAGCAGCTTCCGTTTCACTCGCCAACGCTCCCCCGCTCGCCCCTCTTGTTCTTCCGCTTCCCTCCTCGGCCGAAAGTGCGTCAGCAAACGAGGTGTGCGGGATTGAAGACCGAAGACGAGAAGACTTGACTTCTCGGGACCGAATGATCCGAGATAGAAACTAGGGATGAGCATCGACAGAAAAATATCGATATTTGTATCATATAATATATCGATAACCGATATATATATATATATATATCGAAACAAGAATATCGATCGATTATATAATATCGAAACAAAAATGTCGCTATTTTTAAATATATATTGTATAACGTTCTTACGACCGATACTGTTGAAACGTTCTCGGAGTAATTAATGATATTGTGACATATCGCGATTAATATTTTAGAAAATGAAATTAAATACAATAAATAAAATGTTCCCTCACAATTTATAATAAACCTAATATTTCTTTTCTCTGTTTATTATAAAAATTGTACTGCAAACTAACTTATTACAATACTTATTACGATAAATGACATTGCAGTCATTACAATGACCACAACTGCTCGTCTAGGGAACGTAAGAACAATAACCTCGATAGTATTTTCCCTTTTAATTTATTTCGTTGTTGAGTTAAAACCATTCCGTCCCGGGTTAGAAATAAAAGACTCTAATTGGGTGATTTTCTTATGCATTATGCATTATGCGTTATGCGTTATGCAAGAGTCTGTGCTCGGACCCTTAAACTCCAAATGCGAAACAGTGGTTCGCTCCAATCAAACATTGCGATATTAAATATCGAATGAAAGTATCGATATCATTATGATATTATCAACAGCAGGATATCAATACTTCGGAGGAGATCGATTATTGAAAATAAAAAAAGAAAATGTCGATATTGTCGATATGTCGATATCTCACATATGCTCATCCCTAATAGAAACTCGTCTCTATCACATTTCATTCGTTCGCTTGTTTATTTGCGTACTTGAGTCGTTTATGTGTTACTCGGAAGAGGATTGCAATAATTATATTAATTACAATAATTATTTTAGTTAAATTAGATCAAATTCTAAGCTGAGTAATCCTGAGCGTTCCTGACGCTGAAGTGCTCTGACGGACTCCGACGGAAGGGGGGCTGCTGGGGGGAGAGCGTCGTAAAATCGCTCGCCGAAATATTCGCCGATCGCGGCACTCGAATTACGAAGTTCATTGTTACGCGTGACCGGTTTTGCAGGATGATCAACGGACGACTACACGCTCGACGGCTTCTGTTTGTTGTGTCACTCGCGCGTCTGCCGTGCGCACACAGCGAGGATCGTGTTCTCTCGATGTATTGCGAACGCTAAATACACGCCTTCCCGTCCCTCCCGATCCTCCGCTTGTCCACGCGATAGCGGTGGATTCTCTCAGCAATTTATTTAGAAGAATGCTGTCATTAGCGAGAGACGGAGAAGACGGAGATCGAAACATCCGCCGTTCCCGAGATGATGCAAATGTTCCTTTGACAGGTTCCGAAATTCGCATTCGATTCGCGGACAATCTTCTCTCTCCGGCAATAACGATAATAACATGCAAAGAGTATGTACCACTTGTGCAAAATTAAAATTGACTCAAACGTCCACGAGGCATGGACAGCAACAGGTTTTACAGGCGATACTATTGTCACCCGTGGAACGGGCGTGGCTAAAATAAGATCGAGCGAATGAAGGCAGATCGGTATATAAATAGGTGAAAAATAAATCTGCGAGAATGTGTGTGAGCGACAACTCCCGGCTGCGTTCGGAAGAAAGAGAAAGCGTCCGAACGGTTTCGCGAGACAATGTACCTACTTTCGTCTCTCTCTCTCTCTCTCTCTCTCTCTCTCTCTCTCTCTCTCTCTCTCTCTCTCTCTCTCGCTCTCTCTCTCTCTCTCTCTCTCTCTCTCTCTCGCTCTCTCTCTCTCTCTCTCTCTCTCTCTCGCTCTCTCTACGCGCGTCTCATTGAGATATTATCGTCGACGCGGTCGTTAGCCGCATGTCCGGCATGCCGATAATTTCAGCGGCGATTCCGCGAGCGGTTACGCACGGCCGCTACGCGTGCATGCGTGTGTGTGCATCAAAAGTGGATTGCGAAAGGCGAAATGCAATCAAAGCGAGCCTAATCGACCAGCCGCGCCGTCGCACACTACATGGGGCCAGATGACATTTTTTGGTTGAAAATTCTCTGACCTGAATTTCCAACCGATCATCGACACCAATGGATGAGGTTGATCCTGAATAAATTCCGAAGATCTATCTTGTCAAAATTAAAAAAAAATTTTTTCTCGAATTACTAGTCCCAAAAGAGGAAAAATTATCGTTAAACGCGAGAAACTTGTGAAATACTTATCATTCGACAGTTATTTCTATCTAATAGCGTATTCAGCGGATTGAAAGTATGAAACCAATCAACAGACACCTCTCGAGATTTATCGATCTTGAAGCAGAAACTCATTAACCCAAAACTCATATGCTCAAAATACAAAAACATCAAATGTAGACCCGTTAAGCACAAAACCGAGGGATTTTAATCCTTAATTCTTTCTTAATGTAGGCTGAAATGATGAGTTTTGAAATTTTGAATTTTCTAAAAGGTGATTATAAGTTCTGGGGTCTTGCATTTAGTATCCATAGGCTCGAACCCATTGAAGTCGAAGATCCAAGACACTGTACTTTAAACGACAATATTATTAAGACTATTAAGACAAACTCTAAACCCATGAATCCTGAAGCGATAATTTTTTTCAAAATTTCGACTAGACAGATCTCTTTGGAATTTATTCAGGATCAACCTCATCCATCGGTGTCGATGATCGGTTGGAAATTCAGATCTCTAGAGAATTTTCCACCAAAAAATGTCATCTGGTCTCCCACTGTGCGTTGGTCGGCGATCTCGAAGGATGCGTATCCTTGGCCTCTTCTCCTGGCGCTCGCGCGTTACTTCGCGGGAAAGCAGCCACCTAACCTCGCGAGTGTAGAGTCCGTGACATTAACGACGTTCCTGAGCGCGATAAGACGCGCCTCGAGGGTTATCGCGTCGATTTCTACGACTCCCATATTTCTTCCACCTTTCTTACATTTTTTCCCCGTCGTCGCACGCGGCCCCGCCGGAAATCACGACGGCGGCCGACGCGTCGCGACAAAGTAACAGCAAAAAAAAAGGAGACAGTTAGCACGCAAAAAATCAATTAGCGAATAATGTCGAGTGGATCGACGTTGATCGACGCGGACTCCACCAAATATATCCTGCGCTGTTAATCAATCAATCTCACACGTCGCTGCGACGACGGGGGGAGGGGGATTTACCTGCCGGCGGTGCATAATTCGTAAGCAATTAGCCGCGTAAGCGATTAGCAAAAAACGGAATAAAATGGCAGATAAGATCAAACGACTGGATCGGCGAGTGACGCTGGTCCCGCGAGCTCTGCTGAACACACGTGGCGTTGTTAATTACTTAATTAAGCTCGCACCGCACTGTCGCGATCGCGAAGGATTTACCCGCCGCGCCGCGTCGCGCCGCGCCGGCGCCGGCGGGAAAGAAGCAGAGACCAATCAGCGGACAAAGTCGAGCGAATTGAGGTGAAATCCACCTCTTAATTAATTAATCAATTAATCCCGCGCTGAGCCTCGCCGATACGGGAATCTACTCACCGGAGACGCATAACGCGACGGTCGTTCAACGTCCGAGCGACTTGCCGGGAGATCGCGAGCAGGATAGCTGCCGCGGCGGCGGAAGCTCGCCGGTGAGTCCTCCTTCCGGGATAACTCCGGTCCAGGTGTGACCTCGCTCGGACGTGACTACCGGCCCGTCGTGAGTGCAGGAAGGAGTCTGGCAGCCGAGCCGAGCTGGATCGCTCGCATTCGATCAACTATGATCGAGCACGTGCCGGGTAGGCGACGTCTCGAGCAGCACGCTGGCGGCTGCTTCCCCGAGGTGTTCGCTGAGGTTCTCGAGGACGACGCTCGCCTCCTGTCTCAGTCGCGCCCTCCGCTGCAAAGGCGACCTGTGTGTGACTCCTGCGCAGCTGATCCGTCGTCGTCTCGCTTCGGGAATCGGCGCGAGGCACACCGCCGGTCGAGACAGTGCCGCGAGCCAGTGAAGCAGATGAGGAAGAGGAAAAACCCGCCGGCGAGACGCGCGGGCGATTGCAAACTGAATGCCGCCGGCTCCCGCGGCACTTGCCTACCCTGTCTCGTAACTTCAACGTTCTTGACTCGCCATTGGCTTGCCGTCACTGTAGATGGCGCCAGTCAGGATCTAACAGTGAGAGAAAAGAAATTATTTCAAGGGCTGGTTGTGTTCCCCAACTTCTTGCTAAGTTAACTGATGGTTATATCGTACGTCTGTCTTCGTTTAAGTCTCGAAGGAGAAACAAAGATGAACATGTGATTTAACTATCAGTCAACCCTTTGAAGCATAGTGGTGAGTAAACTTACCACCTATTTATTCTCACATTTTCATGAAATATTTCATATTTGAGGGTTTCTTGTTGGGTTTTCTGCATTTTTTTTAGCTTCTTATATGATATGGGAACATATATGCGAGGTTGAAAAGTGTTTTGCATAAGTTGTCCATTTATTACAAATAAACAAACTGTGAAAAGTACATAATCTTAGAGAAAAAAGTCATTTTCCACGAACTATGAGTGAATTTTTTGCTCAAAATCAAGATTTGGGGGTTTTTTGGGTCGCTGATTACGAATCTGAGGTCCAAATTTTAAAATTAATTTTCCAAGATGACGGATTCCAGATGGCGGATCATAGAATGTACATAAAATTATCTAAAATCATACTCTGGTTAGTTTTTGAACTCGCTGATTACGAATCTGAAGTCCAAATTCTAAAATTTATTTTCTAAGATGGCGGATCATAAAATTTTTATATGATTAGCTGAAATTGTACTTTGGTTAGCTTTCAAGGTCGCTGATTACGAATCCGAGAGGTCCAAAACTCATTGTTCAAAATTGCAGATTCAAGTTGGCGGATCATGAAATTCTAATAAATTTACCTGACTTTGTCTTCCGGTTAGTTAATTTCTCATATTTGTGACCGCCACCTTGAATTTTGAAAATCTGATAACGGATTCGTAATTTGCGACTCCAAAAACCCCACAATACCCATTTGTCACCGAAATTATCGCGATTTTTCACTTTTGTGTCCGCCATCTTGGATCCGCCATCTTGAATTTCGAAAATCTGATAACGGATTCGTCGTCAGCAACCCCAGAAACCCCCATATATAAATTTTTATGTCGGATTTTCTGAAAAATACGTGTTTCAAAGGATTAACTTACCAAGAAGTTGGAACAACCACCAAGAGGAAAAGAGAGCGAAAGGGAGAGAGATGAAGGAAGAGAAAGAGAGCGAGAGACGTAGGAGATTTTTAAGCGCGTTTTACTCGAAGACTTCACCGGAAGTCTGACATCACTTGTCTTGTCGAAGAAAGACGGATTACGAAACGAGTCGGGCTGGATCTTCTACTTGCAAACGATTTCACTCGCACGAAACGTCATATCTAACGTAGAACGCACTCCGCGATGAAACGGACAAACGGATTATTACGCGGAAAATTCGATCAGCGAGCTAATGAGCCTATATATATTCAATCGAGGAGCGAGAATCGATCAACCCATTTATTGATACGACGCCGGTCGATGTTACACGTCGCCGTCGCCGTCGCGACGTACAGTTGGGGGGGGGGGACAGGAACGATAATTTCGATCGATATCGCGTGCGAGACTTCCGCGGAGAACCGCGACTGCATCGTTATCGTTGTTCGAATTTCGCGATAATCTCGCGAAAACTTCGTCCATCTAAAATCACATGGTTCGATAAGATAACACATATGTGTGTTTTGCGTGCAGAGGCAAGCGTACGAATGAGAAGAAAATCAATCGTTTCCCCCTCGGTGTGCTCTCACGGCAATATCTACTCGGCTTACCTTGCGATGATTTTTACATCAAGTTCGACGTGTACATCTCGAAGAGTACGCGTCGTATCAATTTGTAAAAAAGTATCGCGCAGAGAATACGTCAGTCATTCGTATCGCTCCAATCGTGCTCCCGCTCATATTTTATATCTGACTTTCAGATTTTGAGCCAAATTGCTCGCATGCAGATGAGTGTGGACTCGGGCTTGATCGAAATAGTTGAAACGACGCAGAATTGATGCAGTGAGACACGAAGAAGATGTTGAAGAACTTTTTCATGAAAGAATCGGTGCCTGCCGATATGCAATCGTCGACAGTGCAATGCATCGAATAGAAAAACGTATAGAGAAATAAAAAGATATGAGATATTCATCGTGCTGCAATAGGATTTTCCGCTATTGCAATTTAGGACATTATCATAATGTAAATATGTAATAACGTTGCCTGAGATTATTATGCATTTTTACCCACACACACCTTTTTTTCGCCTTGCTTCGCATTTACTTTTTCAAACACGCCGCGTGTGGCAGCACGGACTGGAGAAGTCGCGGTTGCGACACTCGCTCCGATGTTTCGCTTGCTCGTATCGCGAGAGTAACAAAACTTAAATAACTTAGTGAACTTAATTAATTATTGAACTGACTCAAGTAACTTAATTACCTGAGTCAAGTGACTTATAAATATTACATACGTAGAATTTATGCGAAACTTTGATGTGACATATCTTCCCCGTATAATTAGCTAATTTGTTAATGTAAAATTGCTTAAAACTGTAGAGCGACATATTCCCGAAGCCAGGAATTTTTTGTGAACTTTTAGAGTCGCATGCAAAGTCCTGTCCAATTGCTTTTCAGTTTTACAGCAACATCTTCATCTCCGAGCGCTTCCGGTGAAGGGAAAAATTGGAGGGTAGCGTTATCTTACGTAGCTCAACGAGTACTACTGAATGCAATTCTAAAAGTTCACAAAACACACGTTGTTTATTCTCGGTTAAACTTTGTGGTTGGAGTCTCGACTAAAGATCAGCTTTCATTTATAACTCGCTACAGATACTAAGCGAAAACACACCAATCGACCATAGTTTCAATTTCAAAGCGAGTAAGACCCAGGCCATATTTCACGACGTCACTAATCTCTCTCTCTCTCTCTCTCTCTCTCTCTCTCTCTCTCTCTCTCTCTCTCTCTCTCTCTCTCTCTCTCTCTCTCTCTCTCTCTCTCTCTCTCTCTCTCTCTCTCTCTCTCTCTGAGCGTTTAGAGTCCAAATCGGTCAGAAACGTTATTAACAGTGACTCCAGCACAACGTTCAGTCGAAAAAAATCTATCGTCTAAGAAATAATCAAGGTACAGAAAACATCATACGATGACCGAGTTTATAAGTAAACAATAAACAAGATGATGTCACTCATTCCGACGTGGCGACCCATGAGAAGAACGGACTCGCCATCGACTTCTATATATATATATATAAGTTAAACTGAGAACTTCCATTGGTTTTCATGTATAAAAGTGACCCTTTGCAAAACATAAAATCGTGCGTACATGCGCATTGCAAGATCCCGTTAGTACTCTATACATTGAAGGAACATCGAATGTGTCATTGAACGTGACATTGCAGGAGGAAATATCAACATTCTTCTGAAGTAAAAATGCATGTAGGGTGCAGTTAAATTCCCTTGTAATAGCTACTTTTAAGAGACGCGTTAAAGAGACCAGTTATCGGTCTAGTGTATAATATTGAAGTCTGTGCGCGGAATCCACTTTGAGTCCCGCTCTCTCCCTCGTCCCTTATCGACTGGGTGAACCGCCGCGAGTGCTCTCTCGCGCCGTGAACTACGGCAGGCGACATGGCAGTAGTGGCGTCGCGGATCGATCGGGCCAGCCGGCGCTCTCCTGGTACGGCATCGTCTTCGTCGCTTTTTTCGTCCGGTATCTCCCGGCCGAACCGGGGAAAGGCTGAAATTTCCCGACAGCTCGGCTTCGCCTGCGAACGCATGCACGCGTGCACGCATGCACGGCTGCATTCGTCAGCCAGGCGGTGGCCGAGACCGGCGAGGACAGTGCGAGGATCTCGCGGGTGCGAGGGCGCGAGAGGGGTGCATCTGAGGGTAGCAGGGTGCTGGTGCATACGCGAGGCAGAACCGCGCAACCCTCGTTAATGAGGGACGCGTCGGTCGCCGACTTCTCCGGCCGCTGCTGCCGCCGTCGTCGTCGTCGTCGTCGTCGTCGTCGTCGTCGCTGGTGTTTCCTCTTCGTCGCCGGGTTTTCGGTTTTCTTCTCTTTTGCAGAGGGACGCGTCGCGTCGGGGCGATTATTGTTCCCTCTCGCCGTTGCTTTTCTCCGGCGAATCGAGTTTGGTGTGAATTCGTTCACGAAGCCAGTTAGTTTCTTAGCTCATGCCACTTTTCGTTCGGCGACGATAACTCACGAATTAATAACGCGCGATATGGATGTTTACCTATCAATCTTTAACAACGTTCTCGAGGTCGACTGTGACTCATAAGGATACAGAGTGAACTTGTCGACTTACTGCGTATATTGCTACGTTTAATTTATTAGAATTTAATTTTATGTTTATTACACGTTCTAAGTTATAATAAATTCATACAGAACAACATATCGTGCGAGATTATTTACCGCGAAGGAAAATACATAATTCATAACGATGATGTATATTGCTATTTGCATTGGAAGGATATAAATTGCTCAGCTGGTTCTTGCGAAAACATGGTTGATCTCGTGACAAGTTGCGATCATTTCCCAGCTGGCGGTAACCGCCTTAAAGGAATAAAGGTGTCTTGGTCGTTGCTCTAATTGATAATTTGCGCATATTGCGTCCTTGCGATTTTTCCTGCGACTTTCACATTCTTTAAGATGAATCTTTTCTTTTACGTCGATGCAAAATATGAGGCTCTCGTCAGGCCACCGTGATGACTTTCCGGATTATAAGGATTAATGGCGCTGCAAAGTGACGTTTAGCACTAAACCGAAAATCTTGACCATAACTAATTCATCGGGTATATTTGTTTTGTTATGTAATTTACAAGCACAAATACAGACGCTTTTTCACCGGCGTGTAACTTATGCGGACGATGGCATTTCTATGAGGACGTAGCGAGCTGAGAGATCTTTCGCGCGACGAAATTATTGATAATCGTTGAAGTTATTGAGAGATTCAGCAAAATTTGTTTGTCTGCTCTGAAAAACTGAGCGTTTTTCTCGCGAGTCGAATCCTGCCTTGCGTGTCGTCACGGACCGCGCATAGTTCGCCCGAGAGTTGATTTAAAGTGAGTAAGTGAGTAAAGAGTTGATTGAAAAGAAGAGTAGGAAGAGGAGAAGGAGGAGGAGGAGGAGGAGAAGACGAAAGAAGAGCGATCGCGACCGGAAAGTATCGCCTTGACGAAATTCTGCGAACGATCTCTCGTCTAGTTCAATATTGGCCGTTGCACTAGCAATTTATGCGCAACTAATGTTTGACGGAGCGACGTGAAACCTCGTTATCACTTAGTCGCGCAACATTGCGCGCTTTGTCGAGGCGACGACCGCTTTTTCGGCGCGGCGCAGATATATGCACGACACAAACAGACACGAAGTCCGTTTGTGTTGTGCATAATGCAGTGTATTGTCTCTTCGGGAACGTCAGCCGGCCGTGTGTTTCTTTACGTCTCGTTTGCTCTGTGACGGATTATTACGTCACTGTCAATTCGTGTCGCACGTGTTCGCCTTCGGTTCGCATTCGGCATTAATTCAGTTTCTGCATTAATCGGTTTCTCATGCATTTAATTTTCTCATTAGAATTTAATTTCATATTTATTACGCAACCATTACGTAACCATTACGCTGCATTACAAGCGCGTACAAAAAAATATAATTAAATATTGCGCGAGATTTGTATATTACATAACGCGAAGGAAAATATAATTCATACCGATGAAATTATATCGATAAATCTCTGTAGGTTACTACGAGTTATTATGAAAAAACGCGAGTGTTCGTCGAATATATATATATCTCATTGCGGCACGTTTACGTTTCATTTTATGCTTGGTACTGTATTTAGTAATTTAATATATCTTACGGCCGGTTAACACACACATACACACACGTAGTTGATGTAGACAAAATTGAAAAGCCGAGCGCAACTTAACTCGTTAAATATAATACATTAATCACGACGAGGTGTGTCGTGTAATTAACATATCAGTTGTGAAGTGAGCTCCCAGGCTTCCTGAAAACGGAACTTAAATAAAATATTAATTCTTTATTAATCTTTTTAACGAGGAGCATTTTGAGCATTTACAACTAAGGTATCATTTAGAGCATTCATCTCTCTTTCCGCGAAAGAGCTCTTGTATGACATAATGCTCCAAAATATGACAAGGAGCACTTGGATGATACGTCTGACAGCAACTTATGAGCTGATTATAACTTGGACTGGAGCATTGAAAATATGACACGGAGCATTCGCAAACAGAAAAAAAGCAATGGAATTAGCATGTATCGCATTTAATGACGACTCGTGTGACTTAGGCTTTTGCCCCGGATGGTATTTCTTGTCCGCTAAATGCCGGGGAGATATCTCACTGTAGCACATTGCGAAACGCAATACAAAATAACATGTCAATTTTATAACGTAGGAAATCTACTAAAAGTCTCAGAAAAAAATAATTTATTCATCCCGCGTTATCCGTTGGCAAGCTGGCAACAACGGAAAATATCAGTTTTATTGTTTCTCGCAATTTCCCTCCGTGTATCATATATTATTTTCACACGGTATCTAAAATTAAAACAACAAACACACAGATATAGGAACAAATGTCCTTGCGTCAAGTTCTATTTTTGGTTTATCAATAAACGTTGCTCAATGAATGGGTGTTGCCCGCTTAAAATACAAGGTGAACTATTTGAAATTAAAAATTGACATGTTACTCTTTATCGCGTACACAAGTCGAAATGTAAATGGAAGCCGAACAATAACGTCACTTATCAATCGCTGTGTCGCGATACAAGAAATATTCATTCGACTGGCAAACCGGCTCGTTTGTGTGGTAATGCGATGGTTATGTATGAGAGAGAGAGAGAGAGAGAGAGAGAGAGAGAGAGAGAGAGAGAGAGAGAGAGAGAGAGAGAGAGCGAGAGCGAGCTATTGGTGTTGACAATTGAGGTGATACGCAATGTCCGTACGATTTAGAATTGCGCGGTGCGTGCAAACGGCGCAACGGTCAGAGCTAAGCGGCAAAAAGCCGTGGATTGCGATATAGAATCTGAAATCAGAGTTCGATTGATTCCTTTCCGTTCGCAATCAGCTAAATACTGATCTTCTATCCGAGATCCTCGATTTCCAATCCACGAGGGAGTCCTCTGATCATTCGCTCGACTTGTATGTTTTTCTTTTTAAGAAAAAACGGCCGTTGAAAAAAATGACCTTGCGTGATTAGAGTGATTAGTGATTAAAGTCCGCGACTGGAGATTTGCAGAAAATTCATCTCATTGCGCGGGAAATTGACGTCATCCGCGAGCGTGTGGTAAGAAATTTATGCTCGCCTCGCGAGTGACGCGTTTCTCTCCACGGTGCTTTCTTCCTCTTCGCCGTGAACAAGAGGAGACCGCAAAACGCGACTTTCGTTGCCCCGCGATCCAAATTGCAGCGTCGCGGCCGGCACAACGTTCGTTAACCGTCGCCCCGTAACGTGGCATTAACTATTTCGTGGATCTGCGCGGTAAATTGTGCGGTATCGTGCGATTTTTGTTCTCGTCGAATTGCGAAACGACGTTGGATACGGGGAATCGAGCCTCGAAAATCGGCGCAGGGCGACGCGCAGGGGAGATCCGTTCGGAAGAAACGCGTCTCTCCTTTTTCGCGCATTGAACAACATTCCGGCTTTTCGTCGTGCCGTTTCGACGCGCTGAAGAATTCAGCCATTAACGGAGGAAAAAACTGTGGGGAGGTTAATGGGAACATTCGTTTGATATTCTCTGAATATTTCTCTTCATGTTTGCCACAGCCGACCGAATCGGCTGAGACTCGATAAGAGGGAGGGAAATTATCGAAGAGTTATACTCCGCGTTAAATGTAGCCTGCTCGACGCATCACGCCATCATAGGTTGTTATCATAGAAACGGGATAAATTCATTTCAGCAGCAGTTCCGTTCGCACGTAATACAGAAAAGTTGAGTAACAATCGGGAGTGCCGGAGGGAATTGAGCAATTTGTCGTTGTACCGCCGGGTATTGTCCCATTCGTGTGATCGACAACCTTTATTATTCTCTTCTTGGAGGAACTTGAAGACTTTTCGTACCTTTGTCGTGCGGCAATGATACGTTTTCGCGCATTCCAGCGCTCCTTTTTTCTCAAGCGATCTTCTCAACTCCGATTAGTCGTTTTCGATGAATCCAGGTCTCCAGGTATCGAATATCCTGACGACGTTATCTTGATTAAATATCCGGCTCTTTTGGGACGTGTACCTTAACGTGCGGCCTGCAAACTTGTTCGTCACCACTGCTGCTCCCCCTGGAGTTTCTCCCTCCTCTTCTCAAATATTTTTTTCATATGTCAAAAATTTCCGCTGTGACGTCGCGCGTTCTTTCTGACCATGCGAATGTCGTCGGACACTCACGACGAGGTCGAGAAACGAGGCTGAGAACCACCGAGAGTCGTGCGAAAGGAAGTTTTGCTCGATAAAAAATGAACCTCGCGATAATGAGAAGAAACGTACTTGTATGAATTTTTATAAATAATTTCACTAGCGTAGCGTGCATTTCAGCGATATTACCGCGGTAATTACCACGGTTCGATACGTTAAACAATGTGGAACACACGAAGGAGGACGTAAACGAAAAACAATCTTTTTTTCTGAAAGTAGCGTCCCGCTGCTTTATCGTCCCGCGTCACTTTACCGCCTAGCGCCCGTCACAGTTGTGAGCTTAACGGCCGGCCTGAATATCTGCGACTTCCTGGACCGAGACCAAGTACATCTCGGCAAGTGCAATTAACAATTTTACAAAGCCATCGAAAAAGCATCGCTGCGACGCTCTTCGTGCCGACACACGATAATGGCCCAGAAGTTTACGGACGTAAAGTAACGAGGCGCTCTCGCAGCAAAGCAGCGAGTCACTTTCCACTCGGAGAAGGCGAAGTCCTCGTCCTCGCTCGTCGAGCAGCAAATTTCGTCTCGTGCCTCGTCGTGCTCGAAGTCTCGATTCGCGCAGAGCTCTCGTTATTTGCGCAACGACGATGCGAATTAGAATCGAGGAAGAGACACGAAAGAGCGTAACGCAACGCGTGCGATTTGCGTACGATTGCATGCGGCGGCGTCGCCGATGTCGCTTTGGCAATCGTCGAAATCGGGAGCATGAGAATCGAAGGACGGACGGACGGACGGACAAAAGTAATGTGCAAAACGGCCGGAGAGCGAACGAGGGCGGACGGTTTCGAAAATCGGAATCGCACGACAGCGGTTTACTCTCGGTTTTTGCGACGACTCAGATTCCGCCCCCCTTGTGAGAGTACTCGCCGCTTCTTTCCAGGACGACCGGTGGGACGAGCACACGACGGGGGCTTTCGTTGAAGGCGCTTTTACACCGGGGCGGCCGCCAAGCTGATAAGTGGGACATACTTTCCTGCATCTCGGTATTTGGTAGTGAACTCGCAGTCAGGACGGATCATCCGCGCGGATCACCAGGAGCGTCGTCCTCCGCGAAAACCGCTCTGCGCTCCCGTTCTCGTCACCGTTCGGCAGCAGCAAGTGCCTTCTTCGCACTCTACCACTCTATCCCCCGGAGGCAAATCACCCGGCCGGAGTTCTCGTCGCCCGCGCGTTTCCTCGCGCGTTTCCAACGCACCGACCGTAAGTCGCTCATCTCCTAGTGACGCCGATTTTCCTCAAGTCGCTCACGAATCTCGCTCGCGTGGATTGCACTCTAGATCTGACGTGAGATCTTTTCGCCGTAGTGTTTCTGTGAACAATTCAATCGCTGCGTTAGCCCGAGTCCTCTTCACGCGCTCTTGGTCGCTTCAAAGCATTCAAGGGCCAGCTTCATCAGCTGCTTCGACTTAACTTAATCGATTGACTCGCTCAGTCAACCGCGATCGGCCAATCTCGCTGGATTCCGCTTGACGAGAAATGCAATTGGTCGATTTCAGTGGCTGCTAATTTGTCGATTAAGTTAATTAAGAACAGTGAAACTGGCACTGAATTATTTAAACGCGCTAGATTCTAATACATGTGTGTGTGTGTACGAGAACTTTTATCAAACATTATATAATATAATATAAATCTGATAAACTTATTGAATTATGCTCATACTTTTTGTATGCATTTTTTACGAGACTATATTTCTTTTTTTATATTTCTGTTCTCGTACTGCGATTGTTACGTTGCTGTGCAATCTAGAGGGTTGCCCTGTCAAGTGAATCTGTTTTCGTTGTTATTACTTCGTGTATTTTAAACGTATCAAATGACGTGACGTAAAATGGCTAGGAAGCACGCTCATGCGTGTAAAAGTGACGCTGAGTAGTTGAGTTAAACATCTAGCCGGATGTTTGCTTTATATTTAGTCAGCGAAATCGTATATGGGCGATAAACGAGCCGAAAATTGGCCGAAAAAGGCAGAATTTCTGGTTCTCAGAACCGAGCTCGATTGAAATACGTCTTCGTTTGTTAATCGCGTTAATTCGGTCGACTTTTTTACTCTATCCTACACTCGCACATTTACCACAAGCAAATCTGAAGTTAAAAAGAAAAACTTACATAAATTCCACATGGAAAAACATTAAATGCGACTAGTCTTATCGCACTTTTACACTACGCGGCGAATATAATTGGCTGCAATTTCAAAGTACGTTTGATGATAAGTTCCAAATGTCTTTGTTATCGACTTCGGGCATGTTGCAGTCTTGTTCGTTTCGTGTGAGTTGTATGTACACCCACGGTAGTCGATTCTGTCGCTTGAAAAACTGAGAAAGTGACTACGTTTCTACTACTCACAATCCATGCACGATTAATAAAATAACTAAAACTTACGCTCGCTTATGGAGGATTGAGGCCTGGTCTACGATAATGGTCAATTATCATAAAAATAATCGGCTATAATTAGCCAGTTCTTACGGCTTACAGCTTACAACATCTATTATAGACCAGGCCTCAATCCTTCATAAGCGAGCGTAAGTTTTAGTTATTTTATCAATCGTGCATGGACTGTGAGTAGTGTAGAAACGTAGTCGTTACTCAGTTTGTGAAAATTTCCAAGGGACAGAATCGATTACCGTGGGTGTACATGTCGGTCATCAGATACAGGTGGAAGATCCTTTATTGAGACACGCAGAGCAGTCAAACGAGTTGTCGACGTGACGTGATCGTCATATTCAAGATTACGCGGTGTGATCTCGCCCGAGATGCTTTCGCCACGAAAAGTGAGAGATTTTCCCAGGTACTTAGAAAATACAGGCTTTCCCGAGGAAAACTCGCGCCCTCGAAGGCACCGCTCACGCAACTTTCAAACGCGGCCGATTTGCGCAAATCGTTCGTTTTTCGAAGCGAAAATATTCGCGGAAGAAAGTCACGCAACGAAATTGAGGATACTGGCTGACGGAAACTGACAATCAGATTCGATGACAATCTGAGATAAGATAGTAGAGATGTACGAACTACTCGAATTCGAATCGAATCGGGTGAGATTCGCATCCGAGCCGTTCGAAGATTGCGAATTGCGGCAATTAGGGATTAGTTAAGAAGAATCGATCAATCGGCGGGAGATTAAATAATTAGGAAGGGATAGTGGAGTTCTAATGTTTTTTTTATTTTATTTTTTTTATAAGTTTAATCACTACAATTTTTAATCACTACAATTTTTAATTATTACAATTTTTTTTATAAGTTTAATTACTACAATCTGTTACCATAGGACATTCAGTAATTTGTGATAGTATATTTTGTCTTACTTGCGATATCCGTTAACACAATTCCTTTTTACTCTTTTACTCTTCCTTTTTACTCTAACTAATTATAAAGTCTTGTGGTGGTAATTCTAATTCTGGTTGATAATTATAATTCAGGCTAATCTTCTCGACGTGGGAGTTTGATTCAATCCGTGCAATCCTGCCACAACACTCGATACATGAGTTTTCATTGAGATAGTGTTATCTTCTCATGTTTTGAAACTCACGGTAATGTCCCGCGATTGGCTCCTACAGATCGGTGTTCGGTTTATATCGATTATATCGCTAATTGAAAGTCAAGTTTCGAGAAACGACTCGATTCAGTTTATCGCCGATGAAATTTTTCCGATTCAGCTCAACGCAGAAGATCCTCGATTCTGATGATGCAATATCAATAATACCTTTACGTTTATCATATTATGCAATATCAATAACATCTCCATTGACGTTATTGTGTCTACTGGAAAGAAACAAGTGTCTCCGTGTTGTCGCGACGCGATTTGACACGCTCGGCCGCGTTAAGAGTCGATTGAGACGACTGAATACATAATCGAGCGAATAGAAACCTCGCGCAAGGATCTTTCCGTTCGTACGGTCGAATTTTCGGCTCGTCCCCGGGCAGCGGAAAATTGTTCGCGAGTTTCTTATTATCTCGTATAAGCCTCGTCAGTATAAACGAGCGCTCCCCCACAAAGGCTGCGAAGGCTATACGTCTGCAAAGGATGATTTACATCGCGGGCACGTCCAGTCTTTTTCAGCCATCATTCTTATTGAAAATAGCCGACCGAAGATAGCATACTTCGGCAGAGTGGAAGGGGAATCTAACTGTCCTTGGAATATTTTTCCATGAAATGTTGCAAACTGTATTTGCAAGTTTACGCGTGTCACTTGCGATAACGTTGCTCGCATTATTTTTTGTAATCGCAACATTTTTGTAATGCTATCGAGTTCTTCGCGGGACTCGCGTGGATATTATGCATATCACAAGCGCAAAAAGCGTTTCGCTCGAAGTAACCTTAGAATAATGAGAAAATGGCTGAAGGACTCACCGTTGAGAGCAAGTCCCGAGCTAATCAATTTGCATTAAAAGCGGATACACGTCCGTTCACTTCGTCTAATTATCATTACGCAAGCGGGTTCCTCACTGAAAATGAATCAAAGCACAAATCGCGGATCGTGCGCTCTTGATCCGCCTTGTAACGACGTAACGGCGATCGGAGAAAAGAGAAAATTCTGTGACGCAGATGTATCCTCGACGATTATCCTTCAACGACGCAAAAGAACGAAGAACGTGAACGGGCGGCTGAAAGTAAGCCATTTACATCAGAAGCGAACACGTCAGTTCATTCCGCACGGTCATTAATACGATTTTTTCTTCACCGAAGACAGATCGAGTCGCAAGAGCGAGGAGAAAGAGCACGACGCGGTGGTATTTTTCGGGTCTCCTGACAATGTTAATGAATTCAGACGAGATCCTCTCGAGGACGAACCGGGGGAGATTTTCGTCCACACCTTGGCCTTTCCTTCTCAAAACTCGCTTCGGCGGTGCATCGTCGTTTTTCAATGGCAAAACGACTCGAAATTTCCATTAAGACGTGGCGGCGATTGTGGATTCCAGAGAATTCCAGAAAATCGGGTCTCGATCCTCCGTGCGGGATCTCTCCGGTGCGTCTTCTCCCTCCGTCGTCCTTTTTCCTCGAAGCTTCGTGGCTTCGAGACTCGCCACGCGAGGCTCGCGGCAAGGTAAGACGCGACAACACGCGTCTCCCTCTTCTCCCGGCTGTCGGATGTTTTTAGTGAACGGAAGCGATCACTTTATACGGCAACGTGGAAAGTTTCCCGTTCGGCACACTTTCCTCGTCGGTTTTGTTCTGCTTATTAGAGTGGAATTGAGAAGATTCTCCGAGGGGAAAACCGTGTCTCCTCTCGCGATAATGCGCGCCGGACGATGCTTGTGCGCGAATTGATCGCTTTCGCAGACGCGAGCATCGATAGCGCGCTCGAATATGTCGAGTAATATCGCGGCATGAAGAAGCCGCTTCGATTACTCGACTCCTTTCCTCTCCTTTCCGGCCCAAGCCCGGCAAGAAGCCCGAAGCCCGAGTGAAGGGGCGTTCGATCGAGCTGTCGGGATGTCTCCGTCGCTCTTGCGCTCTTGCGGGTTTTATCGAGTATCAAGCTCATTGATGATTTTTATAATATCTCGATTAAATCCCTCTTCGTCGTTATTTCCAACGAATATTAAGATGTTATCGTTGATTGTAAACCAATTGGTTATTATTTACTTTTCATACACGCACTCTTCGTATTCGACGAAATCCGCGCAAGAGTGCTGCCGGAGCTGCTGGACGTTTTGCATAATTTATACCGAATTATCAATATTGTGTCACTCGCACGAGTGAAAGTGCAATAAACGATTTTCCGAGTTCCGAGGACTTAAATTTATGCCGGTGGACAGACGGTAAAAGGAACGGCGGAGATATCGTACTCTGGATCACAATTATTCACATGAGAAGCGAGGACATTCTATTCGTAATCGTGTTTCGCAGAGAACGGCACGTCATGTGCGCTTTAAACCACTGTTATTAGTATTATCTTTATTATTGCCAACTTGGCGACCGCAAGTGCATAGTCGAGACTTCAGGAGTGAGGACTTCACAATGACTCGCCGGCGTTACGAGAGAGCCGCCGTATCGGGTGCACCCTGTGCATTCGCGAAGAGCAGCGACGATGACGAGTTGTGCGCAGTGCAGCGCTTCCTCGGGATCAAAATGGCAGAGAAGCAGCTCGCGACTGGGTGAGAGAGTAATTTCGTTGTAATTAGCTGTTTCGCAACAGCTGCTCGAATTTCATTCGCGCGCAAGCCAGCCGCTCCGAGCCAGCCAAAATGGCTACGGGAAAAAAATGGTC